AAGGAGGGAGGGTAATTTCTGAAGAGAGGCCTCATTGATGAGAGTAACATCTGAGCCAATGTCGATTTCAAACTTCACGGAATGGTGCTCAAACGGAAGCGTGATGATGTGGGGCGATTGGAGTGGCGCGTTGGCCAAAAACTTTCAGAGTATCCCCTCGCCATCCCCAGCTGGATTAGGGTAGGTCGCATGCGTGTTAGTGTTAGCTCGTCTTCTGGAGAAACACACTCGTTCGATGCGGTCGATTTTCTTGCAAAACTGGCATGCCGTCTTCTGGTGTCTACAATCTGACACCGGATATGATGCTGACCACAACGGTAGTTCTTTTGAGGGAACTGATGGTCACTGTCTAGGGGAAGGCACAGCAGTGTTGATCAGAGAGACAGCCACTTCCGATTCCAAGGATGCTATCACTCCATCGTCTGAGTGATTCAGCTGCTGAAAGTTTTGCCGCACGCGCTCCTGATGACTGGCGATATCAAAGGCTTTCTCCCATGACATGTCCTTCTTCTCTGATAAGAGATTTTTCCGAGCTTTTTCATCGCGAAGACCGACGATGAACATCTGAACGAGCATTGCGTGCTCGAAGTTGTCTGCCCTGATCTCTTTATACCCGCAGTCCTGGATGGCCAGAGTCAGATTAGTAATAAAATCACTGACACATTGATTGGATTCTTGATGCATTTGACAAAACCGATAGCGTCTGGGAAAGGCGTTGTCTTTTCCTCCCCACGCTGACTCGAGTTTTGTGACGGCCGTTTTAGGATCTATAGCCTTTTGTAGATTGAGGGCATCGAAATATCGTTGTCCCAACTCTCCGAGATTCGTCTGGGGGAGTTTAAACTCAGATGGGACGTCTAGTGCAATCGTGGACGACAAAATCCGGAGTAGTTCAATATAATCCTCAAATGTCTTCCTCAATTGCAACCACGAGTCATTTGAGGGCTTCTGGGTATTCTTTGGCCAGAAAGGTAACGATGTAATGAAGACATGTTCGTTAGGCTGCGTCGCCAATGTTATGTATGCAAAACAGAAGGCTAATTGGAAATAGGACGTGTGCTGAGTACGAGAGACAGCACAATTGAGGAGGCTTGTGGAAACGGCAGGTATATGGCACGGGGGCCTATAAATAACGCCACATGCGCGTAAAAAGCAAACGATCAGGGTCATGTACTTTCGCTCAGACCACCTTTGTGCTGACTGACCACCCTTCAAAATATGACGCTCTCTCATGCCATATACCCAGCCGTGGCTACAAGACTCCCCACTTGTGCTGTCTCCCGTTCTCAATAAACTTCCTGCCTACAACCGGACTTCCGTCTTGTATACATAAAACAGACCAACCTGAATCAGTCGGAGGAGTGGTCAAACCGTTGGCACATGCGGTCCAAGGCCAAACAGATCAGCCAACACAAGAGACTACTTTCTTGACGATACAGCTATACAGAACGTCGAAGCCCAATAGGGCCTCATTTGCTGACGACAAACTCCCTAAAACCATCCGCTCACCATATATGTCTTGGCTGTACTAAAGATCTCCCCTTGCTGTGGTGGATTCGAATTCCTCCTAGACGCTGGCTTCTTCACAGTTAGATCAATACGAATCATTCGCTCATTGTTCAAAAGTGGCAAAAGACGAAAGGCCCTTAATGTACACCACGAAGCGAGCATTTACGAACTTTGACAAATAGGTCTTCTCAGAGATTTTCGGAACATTCATGTAGCCGCACTTCGAATACGGCATATAATCTGGAGACAGTAGGCGGTTCAAGATTAAAATCGTCTTCAAAGAGTCCAGGGAGCCGCGAATATGATTAAGGGTCGAAGCTCCTTTCCCTCTGCAATCTACATAAGGAATCTGAACCATTTCCTTCTGAGTTCTATGCGCCTGTTTCGAGGATCTAGTACAAACACTCCGAATTTTTAAGCGATCGGATTGCAGCCTTGTCGTTGAGAACTTTTGAACTTGCTTCCAAGGCTAACCTACGAGGTCCACCATTAAAACTGCGAATTCAACGAGCAAGACAAGTGAAAGTTCTCCTCCTCTGTCAGAGTTGTCAAACCATAGGACGCCCTCCCCGCAGATGTTTTGATGTCACAATCGATAGAATGCTTTAAAAGAAACATTGGCGTATCCGTTTTACGAAATGAACGAAAGTGATGACAGATTGGCGAGCGACAAACGGGGAAGATGATGAACGAACGCTGCTAAAATAACTGAACCACCCATGCGAATGGTCCAACAAATGCCTGCTAAGGTTTAACCTCTAGAAATGCGTCGCACTGCGACTCGAAATGAATGGAAGAGCTGATGAAGAGGATCACAATTATCTGCGTGGCGGAAGGTGCTTTTCAAATGTGACAACGAAAAGATCTTCCGATCAACATTTTGTCCTTTCCTCGACCCTCCTTTCAATGCCTTAGGGTGGCCAAAAAGGAAACCGATGTTCTTTTCGCCATTAAACGAACTTTCATATATATAGACAAAGAGTAATTTGGGAAAGTATACGGAGCGTTCATTCGTTCGCATCTGGAATATGGAATCCAATCGTGGCGCCCATGGCTGAAAAAAGTCTAAAAGTTGCTGGGAAGAGTTAAGGGGAGAGGGAGCAAAATCATGAAGGGCCTCAAGACTTTACAATACAGCTGCAGACTCGTACAAAACGAGTTAAGATTTCCAATGTTTTCTTCAGCCCCACATGCTTGAAGAATGGAGTCATTCAGGGTAGTGTCCTTGGCCCGCCATTACTTTGCCTTTTTTGTTAACAATGTGCCAGATTAATTCCAGAATGGTAAGCTCTTCATGTGTGCCAATGACCTGATAGTTGCATATAGATATAAGCCGGTAGATCGTGACGTCGTGCTCGAGCTCCTAAAGAGCTACCTACAGACTTTTGCCCAGTGGTGCTGCGCATGGCAGCCTTTTCTTCCTTTGCTTAAAGGCTCAGCCATGGGGGTTGCCGACGACCACCAGCTTGAACTAAGTACCTAAGGTCACGGCGCAGATGTGCCTGAAGTTGTTAAGGATCTAGGTGTATCATAATACAAAAGTCTTAATCTTTCGGACAACTGCGCCCTCATAGTTTTTAGAGCACGTAAAACGACCGGGTTTATCCTCCGAAACTTTAAAGGTAACGATACAAGAATGCGCCCTTATAACACGTACGTTAGCCCAGGCCTGAAATACTGTTCGTTTTTATTTAGCCTCATGCGTGCCGCTGAGCGGATGAAAATAGAATCGTCTCAACGTTTTGTTACCAAGAGAGCTTTAGCCCCGGAAAACCGGAATTTGTCTTACCAAGGACGTTGCCGGCTTACAGGCCTTGATCCTTTTCGGCTTCGTAGATTAAAAAAGAGACTATTCTTACTATTTAAACTGTTATATAAACGTACCATAAAATAAATGAAATAACTTTATTTAAGACTCATCGTTATTCCATCAAACCAAGTAAAAATCAATTTTTATAGGAATTTTAGACGATGTAGGCGGAATCTGCAAAAAATGCAATTCATAGTTTCGGAATTAGTAGTCCGTTCAGAAACTGATAAGCGAACAGGGAAAGAACTCATTCAAGAATTTAAAAAACGATTGGTTTACCTTTAAAGGAGAAAAAGCTGTCGCTCATGAAAGGGCAAAAGTGCGGGCGGGACCGGCCTGTATGTGGCGGTGTATGACGGATTATAAACGGACATCGTCAGGGCAGAATTCATACACCGGATGAGACTATTCGCGTAAAAGAGGTGAGACGAGGGGAATCCAAACGCGATCGGTCACAGTCCGCTATGAGCCCAGCCGAGGAGTGGGCAAGGAAGATACGACCAAACTACTAGAAGACAGCGAATACAGAGGGTTCTGCCGTGAGCGTCGACAGACCGCTATAAGTTGAAATGAGATGACATCAAGAACCGCGAATATCGTCGCTATGGGGGAGTAGAGATAGCAGTGGATTTAGTAAACAATTTAAAATGGAATTTAACAGGTTTATTATAGCGCCCTCGGGCACTGTCAGTCTCCTTTGAAATCAGGATAGGTTTCTTATAGTGCCCTCGGGCACCGTCAGTCTCCATTTTGGCTCAGAGGGTTTGTAAGTGGGGATTCCACTTGATTTACCACGGAATCTCAGTAGGACACTACCCACAGTCAAGAAACAGATTGTTCGGAAATGAGACGGTTAAAAGTGTCATTATGCTTTCCGGCGTAAAGTGTTCGCGTAATTTCGATTTGAATAACGATAACTTAGGCGACGACTTAAGATCTGGTGGAAGATTATTCCAAAGGAAGGCATATTTGGAAGCAAAGAAGCGGGGGCGCTTAGATGTTGCGCAAAGAGACGGCGGAATCACCATGAAGGAGTTACGCGTGGCGTAAGACCGATGTCTCGGAGTGAGAGTGTCAGTGAGCGGAAGACTGGAGCAAGAGTTGATACGAAAAAGGAAGCAAAGGCCAGCTTCGAGTCTTCTAACCCACAAAAACTTAATGTTCGCCAGCTGACATCTCTGAGTATAAGAAGTACCGGATGCGACTTGAGAGGAGAAATTCCAAATGAAACCCCTCTGAAGATTTTTGATCTTATAGCGGCCGCAAGCGTTCATTAAACTGTTGGGAGTGCCTACACTCCCAAAAACAAGAGCCACCCAATCACTGGAGGCCATGTGCGTTTTCTCTACTGCGCTGTCATCTTAATCGTGGCGCCTCTCCATTGGCTTTTCCTCGCGGGCCTGATCGATCAGCATATTCGAATTATCGACCGGCTCGTCTCGAATGTTCTTCCAGATGGGCATTGGCCGAACGCCGGCGAGGCACAGTAGGGCGTTATAAATATGCGTTACTTCCAGTTAATTTTGACTTGTAATTTCCAAATACACAGTTTCGTGGCCGGTCGCGTTCTCCTTCTCTGCCGCGTTGGTATTGGGGACAAGGGTCGAGTGCGCATACGCTCCACAGGATTTCACGTACCAGGCGGGTCATAACAAATTGGGGACGCAGTTTTCCAACTACAATGGCTGACGAGTACGCAGACTTGAAGCTGATGTGGCAGCAGCAGCTGAAGCTAATGGAAGCACTTACCGTTAAGCTGTCCAACTCGTCCATAGGTCATTCAAGTGCGGCTGGTGGTTCGCAATCTGTTGATCACATTGCCGGCAGCATTACGGAATTCTTGTATGACCCGCAGGCCCATACCACCTTTGATTCCTGGTACAAACGATACGAGGACTTGTTCTCTGTCGATCTGGCTGCCCAGGACGATGCATGGAAGGTTCGACTCCTACTTCGAAAACTGGGTCCGGCTGAACACGAGCGTTATGCAAACTTCATCCTCTCCAAGAATCCCCGAGAAGTCACTTCCAAGGACACGGTTCAGACGTTGTCGCAGATTTTTGGTGAGCAATCATCCCTCTTCAACACACGATTTCAGTGCTTGCAACTGTGCAAACGAGATTCCGATGATTTCATCACGTATGCGAGCATTGTCAATCGTGAGTGTGGGCGTTTCCAACTCGGTTCTCTCACTGAAGACCAGTTTAAATGCCTTCTATTTATCTGCGGCCTCCAGTCCCCCAAGGATGCTGATATCCGGACACGTCTCCTGTCCAAAGTGCAGCAGAACAACTCTACCACACTCCAAGAGCTGGCAGCAGAGTGCCAAACGCTGATCAATCTCAAGCACGACTCTGCAATGATTCAGAACCCGCCCTCATCTTTCTCAGTCCATACGGTCACATCGACCAAATCGCATCCAGTTACACGGCCCAAGCAAGTGCCCAAGTCGAGATCTCCGCCATCTCCTTGTCGGCACTGTGGCGCATGGCATTTCCACCGGGATTGCACTTTCCGCCAGCATCGCTGCCAAAGCTGTAATCAGGTGGGACACCGTGATGGGTTCTGCAAATCAGTACCAGCTTCTGGAGGCAAGCCAGCCCCCGCCATTCCTAATTCCAGGCATCTTTTCCGGCCAAAACGCAAGTCCAAACTCCAGTCCGTTGGTAATTCTCTGAGTCTCTTGGCCGCTTTCCAGCTCAATGCGTCTGGTCGTAGAAAATTTGTTGATGTTTTGCTCAATGGCCATGCAGTTCGTCTACAGTTGGACACTGCCTCAGATATCACCATCATCTCTGAGAGACTCTGGCAGTCCCTTGGCAGCCCCACGATCCAGCAGACTTCCCAGTCCGCCACAAGCGCGTGCGGTGGTCTCGTACAGCTAGTTGGGCAACTGCAATGCTGTGTGTCGTTCCGCGGTACCAGCATCACCGCGATCTGCTACATCACCAAGTCTGACCTCAACCTACTTGGTCTCGACAGGATTTAACAACTTGGGTTGGCCGATATGCCGCTCCGCGTTGTTTGCAGTCAGGTGCAGATTCCCGCTGTGCTTGCAGACCAAGCCAAGGACATTCTCCAACGGTTTGCTCCAGTGTTCCAAGACGGTCTTGGTTGTTGCACATACACTCAGGCCGTGCTACATCTGTCCCCTGGAAGTCAACCTGTCTTCCGTCCAGAGCGACCAGTCCCATATGCAGCTCTACCACTTGTCGAGGCTGAACTGAAGCGTCTAGAGGAATTGGGAGTTCTGGTTCCTGTATCCTACTTCGCCTGGGCCGCTCCAATCGTTGTGGTTAAGAAGCCCAATGGCTCGATTCGCATTTGTGCTCACTTCTCCACCGGTCTCAATGCCGCACTGACGCCGAACTGCTATCCACTACCGGTTCCGACTTATCTTTTCACCCTGCTGAATGGTGGCACTTGCTTTGCCAAGTTGGATCTCGCTGACGCGTATCTGCAGATCGAGGTCGCCCCAGAGTCGCGCGAATTGTTGACCATCAATACCCACCGCGGTCTGTTCCAATACACCAGGCTGCCCTTTGGTGTCAAGACCGCCCCGGCCCTATTCCAACAAACGATGAACGCAATGCTCTCCGGCATCTCTGGCACAGCTGTGTACCTGGACGACATCATCATCGTGGGTCGCTCCCCTGCCGAGCTGCAAGACCGAGTGTGCGCAGTACTCGAACGCGTGCAGGAATATGGCTTTCGCCTACGGGCCGACAAGTGCCAATTCTTCCTCGACTCCATCAAGTACCTTGGATTCGTTTTTGACATCACTGGTCGCCATGCAGATCCTGAAAACATTCGGGCCATCCAACGGATGCCTGCCCCCAAGAATGTATCTCAACTTCGTTCGTTTCTTGGCCTGATCAGCTACTATAACGCTTTCCTACCATCGCTGCATGACGTACGGGCCCCGCTCAACCGTCTGTTGCAGAAGGATGCTCCCTGGTGCTGGTCCCCCGACTGTGAAAAGGCCTTCGCCCAGCTAAAGTCGGTGCTGAGTTCAGATTTGCTGCTCACGCACTACGACCCGACGCTGCCGATCGTTGTTGCTGCAGATGCTTCCAACCACGGAGTTGGTGCCGTCATCTCACACACTTTTCCTGATGGGTCTGAAAAGGCGATCATGCATGCATCTCGCACGCTAACCCCTGCGGAGAAGAACTATGGGCAAATAGAGAAAGAGGCTCTAGCCCTCGTGTTTGCCGTCAAGAAATTTCACAAACTGTTGTACGGTCGCCACTTCACGTTGTTGACGGATCACAAACCATTGCTGTCAATCTTCGGTTTGAAGAAGGGCATTCCCGTCTACTCAGCCAGCCGCCTTCAGCGATGGGCAACCATCCTTCTTGGCTACGATTTCGACATTCGCTACTGTCGTACTACAGACTTTGGTCAGGCTGACGCCCTTTCTCGCCTCATCAGCAATCAGCAGGAGTCGGAGGAAGATACCGTGATTGCCGCTATTTCGATTGAGGACGATGTGCGCCGTCAGTTATCAGACGCCATACGAGGTATCCCTGTCACTGCCGCGGACATCCGGCATGTTACTGAACAGGATCCTGTCCTCCGTCAGGCCATCACCTACGTGCAGACCTGCTGGCCAACCACTACTCTCGCTGGTGGTCTTCGTCAGATCTTCCTCCGACGAGCATCGTTATCTGTGGTTGACTCCTGCCTCATGTTTGCAGACCGTGTGGTGATCCTATCTTCCCTCCGACCCACTGTACTACGCCAGTTCCATGCGGCTCATCCTGGTACCAGCCGAATGAAGTCTATTGCTCGCAGTTTTGCCTACTGGCCGGGTATCGACGACCTGGTTCGACGCTGTTCTCGATGTCAGCAAGCTGCCAAGATGCCGCCTCGTCAACCGCCAGTACCCTGGGAACCACCAGAGAGGCCTTGGTCACGCGTGCACTTCGACTTCGCTGGCCCACTTAACGGAGTCTCCTACCTAATCTTGGTTGACGCCTACTCGAAATGGCCCGAGATTGCTCCGCTGAATCCAGCAACCGCATCTTCCACTATCGCCTTCCTACGACGCATCTTTAGCCAGCATGGCTTACCAGAAGTCCTTGTTTCAGATAATGGCTCTCAGTTTACTTCGTCGTCGTTTGAGGATTTCTGCCGCCAGCACAACATCCAGCATCTTCGCTCCCCGCCTTACCATCCTCAGTCTAACGGTCAGGCGGAGCGTTTTGTCGACACGTTTAAGAGAGTCCTCTTAAAAGCTCGTGGGGAGGGGACCACGGACGAGATAGTCCAGGCGTTCCTGTTTTCCTACAGGACGACACCGAACCCGGCGTCCCCTGCTGGCGTTTCTCCTGCCGAAGCGTTGATGGGCCGAGAACTGCGTACAACGTTTCATGCCCTCGTCCCTACCGGTGCGCAGCCCGCGCAGACTTCTCCAGTTTCTCGCAGCAAGCTCTCCATCGGAACACCTGTCTTCGTTCGTGATTATCGAGCAGAGTTCCCTGACTGGACTGAAGCAACCGTAGTAGCACACAGAGGCAGTATGTTGTTTGACGTCAACGTTGGTGATGACATCTGGGTTCGCCACCACAACCATATCCGACGGCGACACTGCAGTAACACAACTGGGCTCGATTCGGCGCCGTCACTCTCCCTTGACATCCTACTGGATACCTTCGCCATTCCGGCAGATCAGTCGGTTCCCGAACCCACAGCTGCGCCCCCTTCGGATATACCACATTCGGTATCAGTTACCGCTCCCGTGTCTCCAGGCATTAAACCACGACTAAGACGCCGGACCAACCGCGTGCGCCGATCAACACGGCTGATGCAGGTCAATCCACGCCAGAAGCGGTACTGACCTACTTGGAGGGGAGGTGTTGGGAATGCCTACACTCCCAAAAACAAGAGCCACCCAATCACTGGAGGCCATGTGCGTTTTCTCTACTGCGCTGTCATCTTAATCGTGGCGCCTCTCCATTGGCTTTTCCTCGCGGGCCTGATCGATCAGCATATTCGAATTATCGACCGGCTCGTCTCGAATGTTCTTCCCGATGGGCATTGGCCGAACGCCGGCGAGGCACAGTAGGGCGTTATAAATATGCGTTACTTCCAGTTAATTTTAACTTGTAATTTCCTAATACACAGTTTCGTGGCCGGTCGCGTTCTCCTTCTCTGCCGCGTTGGTATTGGGGACAAGGGTCGAGTGCGCATACGCTCCACAGGATTTCAAGTACCAGGCGGGTCATAACATAAACCAAAGAAAGGACAGCAGTATTCGAGGTATGGGATAACAAACATTTGACGATATTATATGATATGAATCCACATTTCTGCGCGGCTTTGGCAGAGATTCTATCTGCATAAGGTGATAAAGCAAGCTTATTTGAATAACTTAGACCTAGGTCCTTTATGGTGAAGCATTTTAAACGTGAATTATTCTGAAAAATTATTGGACCAGGAGACTCTGCAGAGCCAAAAGACATGAAACTGCGCTTGGATGATGAAAACTCCATATGCCATGTTGAACTCCATCTGCTTAAGCATAGTACATTGGCATTACTTTTATCAACACAAAGGCTTTCAGTGTCCTCAGAATATGAGTAAATACACTTGAAATTATCGGCATAGGTAAATATTTGCAAGTTTCCGTGTGTTTTGTGCACACTTGGCGCATCCTTGAGGCCACGTCAAAAATTTCTGTGATTCTAACATGAACGAAGAAAGAACTATTGGATGGATCACGCCGCTGCTGTCTCAGCTTTTAAGTTTCTTGCGTAGAGAATAAGGAATAAGGGAATCTGAAGAAGTAGACTTGAGATATCTACGCTGCACAAACTCTAGGATGGCCTTGGAAACATTGAACATGGCAAAACGATGAATGGTTGCATCTCTATAGGAGAGAAAACCACACTAAATTAATGATCTATGTAATATTGTTATTTATTAAGTTGCTATCTACGCAATCGTAATCTAGTTACGTCCGAACTCTGTTGGTCTCTTTTGAAAAGGCAAGCGGGTGTGGACGTAGAGATTTCAATGCTGAAATGTAAGTCCATCAAGAAAAATGCTTGATTAAAACAACCGCTGTTCGATATGATTTCCTACTATGTAGTGACCGAGCGAGCGGTGGATGCCGGATTACGGAATATATAGGAAGAGGATGATGGTAACTTGAGCTAAGAGAGTCCAGCCGACTGGAAGAACTGTTCTAAAAGGCCTTGCACTTCAGAGTGGACGGGATCGGGATGAACAGGCATACGGGAGATAGGATAAGCAGCACAGGTTCGAAAAAATACAAGTTTATTCGAGTATACAAAAAATGGGAAAAGGAAACCGAGGCTACGGAAGAACGGAAAATACAATGGAACGACTTATCGTGAGGGGTCGGGGTTCATTTGTCGGCACGTGGCTTTAGGCGCGTTGTTCCTGCGAGGGAAACGGAAGAAGAATGCCACTAACGTGACAGTACATTAAAACACTCACGATCGGTTCCTGGTCAGATCTCCGACTGTTACAACTACTCCTGCAGTCAGCTCAAAATATTCTAAGACCCGTAGCGGAAAAATACTCAATCAAGGAAAAGGCGGCAACGTCCAATAGGAAATGTGGCGAGACCTGGCGACCCTATAAGATGCCCCCCGCTCAAACCCCGGGTTACTCATCGTTCTGTCGATCGGCCTTAGTTTCGCTGGCGTTATATTTACTACTCTGTTACTGGTCGTCACGGGATGGTATTACCAGATTCCTATGCCGAAGCTGGTCGCCGTCCGTCAGAATCAGTTCGTAACGACTTTTACTACGGGGGCCTCAATGTATGTTTCAAAACAAAATCAGAGGAAATCGATTTAAGTTTTTCAAATACTAATTTGTCGGAGAGAAATCCCGAATTCCGTAAGTATTTTACACTTATCCTCAGTTTATCATCAGGACAAACGCTGGAATTTAGGCCATTTTGTGGACTGTCAATTTTAAGCCAGTTAACGGACTGGGAAGATTTCCTCGGAACATTCAAGGTGGCAAGTGACCGACACCATTTGGTCCACGAGGTCAGCTATCGTCTTAAAGGCCCAAGATTAACCTCGTCATTTCGAAATCCATCCTATAAAATTGGTACGAAGACTACATACCGTTCTGACTCACTTGTTGGTGAGTGTGGTCTCACGTTCCATTCATTATGGCCTCGTGTCTACGCAGCCACCCTCCTCGGGTAAATCATTCATTTCCATTGTAACTGGTAGACATGGGGATTTTTTTGTAGGGTCTAAGCTGTCATTTAATACCAGACAACCATTCCATTACAAATATGGTGTCAAATTTGGCTACTTGACCGAACAAGTGGAGCTTTACGGAGGCTACTCAAGTATACGTGGCCTTTCCTTTGGAATCATCTCATCGAGAGGGCCATTTCAATGTATTTTATATTCCGACTGGTGCAAGATTGCAGAGAGCATGTGTTCTTCACTGGCCATCAAGTACTGGATCACAGATGGATGTTTCATCAAGGCATCTCTAAATGATCATCTGATCTTGGGTGGCAGCATTGGCTTGAGATTATCCCCTGGTATGTTGAGCTTACTTCCGCCGAAGACAAAACAAGTAATTTAAGAGTTTTGACGACTGCCCGGCCACGTCGTCTTGGCTTTTTTATCGGCACGAGTGCCGAGCACAACAGAAAGCGTATGGAACTTTTTGTGGTTGCAAATCACGCGTCAGCCGTTTTTCCTTTGTCGTCGACAGAGCTTCGCCATCTCGCAGTCCGTAAGCAGAGGCTAAGGCTCACATCTTCCTATCCGTCCAGAAGTATCGCATGGAGACGACGTTTCACTCGTTAACACCGGAGAGGCTCGTTCCGTTTTTTACCGGAGGTCTAGGCTAGAGCTCCATCAAAGCCATCAGTAATCGGTAGCTTTGAAAGGACAGACAGTTCATACCGTTCACACACACATATATATGTATGAACTGGAAAGTCGGCATTCTAGAGATTTAATTGGGTAAAGGAAACTCTCTTGGGAACTGGAACTTTTGCGCAAATTTTTGAGGGTGGTCTCCCCAACTCTTCTTCAGACGGTGTACAGAAACAATTGACTTCTTAACTGGGTTCAACAAAGGATTGGTCAACGTCTATGCCAGCACATGTTTATCAAATTTCGTCACTTCTTTGGGATTGGTTGCGCCAGTTCGAAATTTTCCTTAACGATTTTGTTTGCGGCATCTGGATCGATATGCCGGTTGCATGCCTCATCTAAGCGCATTGCTTCCAGGAATTCGCGGCCTGTTCTTATTGGGCAGGCGCCAACAATACGGGTGTTCTCCCACCCAAATTTGTGTCTAGTTTGTGCTTGACCATCTGGGATAGGTGGACGCATCTCTTCACCGCTAACTGATGATCATTTATACGGATTGAGACATATTTTTCGAGTCTGGCCATAGTAGACGGCATCACAACTAGTACATGGGATTTTGTAAACAACACCTTTTCTACGGAAGTAGCCAACCCTGTCCTAAGAGTATACAAGCTATGTACGCAAGCTGGTTGCAGGTTCGTGTGTTCCCAACGAATCTTACATATTTCAAATTCCATTTCTTAGAATGCCCGTTTTCCATTATATATATATATTTATTATGATAGTGGGCGCTCACCGATCAGGTTGCGGAACATGCTCGTTCCGTTGTGCCTTGGGGCTCATACTTAAACCCTCGCAGGCAGTCGCACAGCGACTAGTAGTAGATATAGATGAGATGGTACCGACAAAGATAAGGGAGACCGGAATGGCCATTTCTGGCTTATTAGCCGTCATCAGCCAGTCATACCCAATCCCAAGTGTGGATCACTTGTGCCTTCATTCAACCAATCATAACCCTGACCACCAGCAGCTGGGACCAGAAACACAAACATGCGCACAGACGCACCTGGCGCAGTTGATCCACCACAATAAGCCCGAAACAGTACTGTATCAATCTACCCGCATTCTCTGTCGTCCCTCCTTGCTGCTATTATGACTTGGCCGACTTCGGCCTGGTAATTGGTTGCCTGTTCGTGACCTTTGCCACACATCCGGAGCTTGTTTGCTTCGTGAAGCCAATAGATCGGTGTGCGCCCATTCCTGATTGATATATATATAGAATGGCATTACCGACAAAGACAAGGGAGACTTGGATGGCCATTTCTGGCTTATTAGCCGTCGTCAGCCAGTCATACCCAACCCCGAAGTGTGGGACGCCCGAGGCTCGAACTCGCGACCTGTTACTTAAAAGTCCACGTCTGTAACCCCGGGCCACGAGTCCGTTGCCCTGTCGGGTATTTCACACTTCGGTTATGGGTATGACTGGCTGACGACGGCCAATAAGCCAGAAATGGCCATTCCAATCCCCCTTGTCACTGTCGGTAATAACATACTACCTTATCATGCGCCGCTGTGTGGCTGTTTGTTGGGCTCGAGAGAGAGAAGGAGAGCCCGTAAGGCACAGCGGAACGAGTGAGTGCCGTAAGAACGATCGGTGAGCGCCCCCTACCATTATATATATATATATATATATATATATATGATGGTAGAGGGTGCGTTCATCGGTCGTGTTACTGAACTCACCCGTCCCGTTGTGCCTTAGGGCTCTCACTCTCGAGCCCAACCAGCAGCTGCATATTGGCGCGTAATATAGGAAGGCAGTTGCCGGTTGGTGTACTGTGTATTTCAGATTTTGTAGGTCCCTTTCAACTACTTCAGATACACTTCTCACGTATGAGAGTGTTCGCCAGTTAATTGGTTTTGGTGCCCGAATGGCCATAACATTGGAAATACCTTCCCTTTGAATTGTTGCTGTCTCATGCATTGACGTACGATATCATGCGGGTGCCCACTTTGGGACAATAGTTTGCGGATGTATTTCATTTCTGCTAGATAACGTTTCATCAGAACAGTAAGTTTTGGCTCGATTCAGAAGGTTGTAGACTGCACTTCGTTTGTAAGAGATAGTGTGGTTACTCTCGAAATGTAGGATGACCTCTGAGTATGCCTCTTTGCGATAAACTGATGTGTGAGGTGATCCATCATTTGACCCAATTGTGAAAAACTTGGCGGCCTCGTCGAGTTTAGAACGCACAACAGCAAGGGCAAAGCCTAGTTACAGCCAACGCTCTAACCACCTGAGCCACAAGGCCCTACCGGAATCCTTGAGTATAATCATATTTGGCCCGAGTTATCCGCCTAGCCTCCTCAACGTATGGAATCTGCCAATTCTAATTCAGTAAGCTGGCTGCTAAGGCAGGATTTCCTAAGCAGTGAATCTGGAATCCAGCAGATGACTACTGGACTCACTTGATTAATCGAGAGAAGATGAAGTACTTACATGTCCTATTTGAAGCCAACGGTTGTCCGACCTCCGTCATATGCAAATGTCTCAGGAGGCCCCACTCTAAGCGGTCGTACGAGAAAAAAACAAAAGTTCAGGCTCTTGATCCCCTACGCGAAGAGCGTTTCAGAGGCTACGGCGAAAATCTCGAAACCGTTTGGCATTGGTACGGCTCATAAACCAGAGTCAGCAATGGAACAGAACAGCACGAGGCCCAAAGACCCACTACCAGCAACAGACTAACCGACGGTGATCTGCAGCATACCACGCCCAAAATTGCGATGCAGGGTATGTTTGTGAAACGGACATACGCATTGGCACAAGATTGTACAAACACCAGCATGCAGTCACAAACTACAGCAGAACCACAGTTGCGCCCCTAAGAAAGCGAGTGTGATCGCCCGTGTCAATGCTAAGATGGCCAGACTTATGTTCGAAATCTGGTCCTCGACTGACACACTTAACCGAGCCATAGACCGGCATCCCGTCTACCAGGCGCCACGCACAAAACTCGAGTCAGCTCGGACAGGGCCGATAGAACGGGCGAAAGGAATTACGCAAGACCGGCAACCAACGCCCTCTAAGGATACGGGAAGAGCCGATCGGAAGTCGCGTGGCCGGCGTGACACATTGTCTCGCCGACGCGCTCGCTACGGCGAAAGCAGTACGCACGAACAGCAGCAACCAATCAGTCTGCCGGCTGGCTAAGGGGGGGAGGGGGAGGTAACAAGCACGCTGACTTGGATGTAGAGGGGATAAGTCACGCTTTCCCTCCAATGGTTAACCTCGGAGATGCCAAAACCAACTAGCAACAAGCAGGTAGGCGAACGTACGGGCCTCATGCACGGTTGTAATGCGAGACAGGCGGCATGGCTGAATAAATCAAGACCAGCATGGTGAGTAACCGCACTCGGTGGTGATTAATGGCGATCGGTGAGCGCTCCCCCACCAATGTAGTTTACCCGATCGCAGCCGACAGGATAACCAGCATGCGGCTCAATGATTAAGGCGTTGAACTTCTTACTAACTGGTCGCGGATTCATGCCTCAGGGTTTGCAAAGTCTGAGTTCGGATGGAGCCGACGGCCAACAAGCTGGAAACGGCCATCCCAATCTCTCTTGTCTTTGTCTGTAATTTCATGCGGCTTTTGGTTATTGGGTCGAACGCTCTACCATTGATCCACGGGCCTTTTGTTCTGTCGCTTGCGTTAGCGAATGTTAACTGCTTAGGAGTTGCGTCGACCAATCTGGTTGCGGTACACGCTCGTCGCCTAATCTACCTCAGTCTCGTTGGTTTCCCTCTGAATCTACTAATATTCGCTATGCGTCTGTGAGTTTAAAAATGTGTATCCCGCCCAGCCTGGTCCAAACTATGTTTACAGATATTATTATTTGGACACGAAGTTCATCCCATAGGAGATGACTACTCTAAATCCTTAACTTACGTGAAACCGTGCAGCCGGATGTCAGGAGTTTGGGTTTTAGTTCAATGTACATAAATTCTGTTAATAGAACATGGCCTTGTGTTTGGATTACGTCATGGACCAGAGCTTGTTGGGCAGAGAGCGATGAATAATGGACCTCTGCAAGGTCCATTTTGCTTAGTATTCCGTGTTTCATGAAAATGTATTTTCTAGATGTTCGCTCCGTCCTGCTTCGTTGCGAATAAGAGGAAATTTAACTCTCGTGTTTCAGGGACATTTGTATCTGCCTCGATCCTGCAAGCGCCGGAATCATACTCAGCCTTTAACACTCAGTTCGGGCTTGGTTTTGACATTGAGAAGTGATTTATTTCTTCGATTTCCTTTTTATTTTGCTGACTGCTTTTGACCTTTTGATGAACTCTCTTTACCTATTCTATATTTATACTTTTTGATCCAATATGTACTACCAAATACAAACATGTCTGCTTGCTCTCTGTTTTTTTTTCTGCTCATCAAAAAATCAAACATGAACTCAGGCCTAGCGCTCCCCAAAAAGGCAAATTACTCTAATTTGGACTTTTTTGTCTCCGGACTCCTAGGAGTCAGCAGAATCAAATCCCTAACTGATCGTCAGTATCGTCGATTGGCACCCTATGGTAGAGAGGCTCTTATAAGATGGGCAGATCTCGTTGGAAACATCGTTTCGTATCATATTTAAATAACCAGTGAATGGTTGCATGTCACTGCTGCTTTATGAGCTGAGTTGAGGACTCGGAGCCCAAACTAGGGTTAGAGCAGCGGTTATTTGACCTGCAAAGGACAAATCTCAACTGGTGTTACGTCCCCTTTAAAAACACGCTCTTCCTGCACCCCGGACGCAGATCTTACCGCCGCAGGCATTGTAAGGTATTATGAACAAAGACAGGTAGATTGAAATGATTATTTCTGTCTTGCCTGACTCCATCAGCAAACCATATCCCGAATCCGAGACTGACAGGACCTACGGCTTAAACGCTCCACTACCGAGCTGCTGACTCGTCCCCTATTAGTCGCTGTTTAGAGTATTATAAGTATGACGATAGTTTGACCGTCGGCTTCGACGATGTCCACCATGTGCTCCGCAGCAGGGGCGGTGACTTCCGCGTGAATGAGTTTATAGTGATGGTAGACTTGCCCATCATCGACTACAATTCCTCCCCCATCTAGGCACGGTGTCAAGACAGTCAAGAAGATCGGACGGGATGGAGGGCGCAGGTGGATGGCATGGTCGAGCCAGCACTTTGACGCTCCACTCCCCACCCTCTGGTCCACACAGCAAACGACCAGGACTCTAACCAACAACGACAGAAGGGGCTGTCTCGGCCGAAGCCGCACCTTGGCGTGCTGCCACACCTGCTTCGGATCTCACTGAGTGGGGGTGCCATAAAGGCCACATTAAGAAGGGGCCATAGCAGCCTGACTCTTAGACCACCGGTCTGCCGCTCTACACAAACACAACACTGGATCGACTTCGGGGTCCGTGTTATCCCGTCGGTTGGCAATCTTCCAAGCCACGGTTTTTGACGCACTGTGATAGCGTCAAGCACGTCATATTGTTTATAATGGGGAAAATGCACTGAGCCGTCGATCTCACTTTCCCTTACCATGCCCCAGCCACTGTTCGAGGCGATCAGTTGACAGGTGCGGGGAATGGGTGCAGTGGCTGAAGTATATAGTGATCTTGTCTGCGCGCGCCGCAGGCATGACCTGCCCCCCCCCCCAAACGCAAGCGCCAGGATTTCATACAACGGGGGTTGGACGGCGTTCATCTCACACGCGTGAGAGTGTCGTAGGTCACGTTGGGAAGGAGCTGCTTCAGCCTGACTCCCAGCCCATCAATCTGGCACTCCGCACAAACACTCACATTACTGGGCAGACTGAGTTGGAACGTCGGTCAGCAGCCTTCCAAGCCACGGTGCTTGATGCACAGCGATAGTCTAAACTCGGATCACACATGTAGCAGAGGAGCCGCATGGAGACGGAGCCTAGACGCGCACTTCCCACTTGCGTGGGAGGTGGCAGTTGGATGCTTGTGGTGATGTGATGGTGTGGTGTAGCCGGTGCTTGCCTACCGCAGGTTTTTTGAATGCGCATGCAGCCTTATAGGCCCATGCGGTGAGTGAATGTGCGGGGGCGGTTGAGGCAGATGCGTCTGGTGTATGTTGGTGCCCCAGGCACTGGCTCGCCAGTCTCCGTGCAATGGATCGGCCATGGACCGACCAAGTCGATGTATGAGGTGAATGTACGGGGAGTGTCGACAGGCAAAGTCGGTGGTGTCGGTTTAGGAGACGGTGGACACGCTGGGCGACGGGGTGTGCGTTGGGTCAGGCACGGCGGGTGTGCATGATGTGCTGAGTGTGATGGGGCTGGTGGTGGTGGACGTTCTGGGCGGCGGGTTGTGGGTTAAGCAAAGCATGGTGGATGTGCAAGACGTGCTAGGTGTATCGAGACTGCGGCCAATTCTGCTCTCATGGATAAACATGTGACTGAAGAGGCCCTTGCGGGGAGTGAGTGTGCCGAGACAGTGTAGACAGTGAAGGCGAATGCGGCAGGTGTAGGTTCGTGCTCCAGGCACCGGTTCGCCAGTCTCTGTGCGATGGATTCGCAAATGGCCGATGTGTGAGGTGAAGGTGCGGTCGCAATGAGGACAGGTAGGGATCGATTCCACACTGCTGGTGTTGACAGTGGGGAGGTTGATGCCTGTTGGTGTGTCAGGATTGTATGCAGGGTTGTTGGGTACAGGAGCCGCCGTAGCGGATGTTAAGGCCCTGAGGGAGTGGGGGGATAGTAGTGGGGGTTCGGGAGTGCGGTCATCGTTAGTTGTCGGTGTGGATAACGAGGCAGGGTTTGATAGGAGGACAGCGGCTGCTGTATTTCGGGTGCTGCAGTTGGTAAGAAGATATCTGACAAGGCCGATTGGTGCGCGGAACGCCCGCTGGCGTTTAGGGCAGGTTTGGGGCGATTGGGCATTAGGGTTACGGGGTGGGTGCAGTTCAGATCTGCGAGCCTCGCGTTGGGCTTTGGCGGCGGTCATGCGGTTGGCTTCGTAGATCATTACGCCTGTCTTCACTGTCCTCTCCTAGGTCGGTTGGTCTTCGGCGAGGTCTTGCCAGGTTGATCTGCAGACGCTTCAGGGAAGTCTTCAATGTCCTTGTAGTAACGCACTTGGCCTCCTTGTCGGCCGGAACCCATGGTGGCATCTCCGCAGAAGAGTTGTTCGGGTAGCTGCTCGTCGTTTATCAGCACGAGGTGGCCGCTGCAGCGCATTTCGCAGCTGTCTCCGCATAGCGTAGACGCTGAGAATTTCTCTCCGCTCCAGTACACCCGTGTCTGGTATCCGGTCCTGCCACCTCAGCTTCAGTATCCGTAGAAGACAGCTGAGGTGGAAATGATTGAGTCTTCTCACCTATTTCTTGTACATCGTCCAGGTTTCTGCTCCATAGAGCAGAGCCGGCAGGATGACTACCCTGTACATTTTCAGCTTGGTGTAGAGATGGAGACCGTGACGCCACCAGACAGTGTTTTGTGGACGGCCGTAGGCTTGGCTGGCTTTGTAAATCCGGCAGGCCACTTCATCGTCGATCTTGGTGTTGTGGGAGAGGGTGCTGCCCAGGTTGGTGAAGTTGCCCACGACATGCAGTCGGGCGCCGTTCACGTTGATTTGGGGTTCGACATGAGCGGCGTCGGGTGGCGGTTGATGCATAACCACCGTCTTCATCGTATTGGTTTATAGTGGTAGAAGATTCGCACAACATCTGTCGCACCCTCCCCTTACTCACCAGGGTCCTGCGTCGTAACCAAATCAAGATGACCGGAGGCTGTAGAGGGCGCTCGGGCTGGCACGGAGAGAATCCGCACCTAAGCGTACCACTCCACAGCCCCTTGTCCACAACAAACACTTGACCGGCATTTCACACAGCAAGAAAAGATTGGGGGGGGCTCGGATTCTACCACGTGTGAGGGCCATAAAGGCCACATTAGGAAGTAGTCATTGCAGACTCACCCTCAGTCCACCAGTCGGCCACTCCACACAAGCGCACCTTCTGCCGACGGCGAGGTTCCAGTTATCCCGTTGGTTGGCAACATCCCAAGTCACGACTATTAGTCCACAGTGATAGCTTACATCGCCTCAGATTGTTTATGGTGAGGGAAATGCTCTGAGTCGTCCGCCTCACTCTATTCCCACTCCCAAGCCCAGCCACTGTCCGAGTCGGTCAGTCGTCTGAGGCGCGGAATGGGCGTTGTGGCTTACACAGTTATTGACCTCGTCTGCGCGTGCCATATGCACGATCTGGCCTCCCGAGCACCAGGATTCCTCAAAAAGCGGGTGGGCTGCATGCATTTTACAGGCGTGAGAGTTCGAGGGGTCACAATGAGGAGGAGCCATTGCAGCCTGACTCAGTCCACCAGTCAGTTTCAACGCAAAAACACCACTGAACCGACTGCGTTGACGGAGTTGAAGCGTTAGTTGGCGACCTTCCAAGCCACGGCACTTCGCTCACCGTGATAGTCTCA